GTGCGTGCGTGTGTGCGTGCGTGTGTGCGTGCGTGCGTGTGTGTGTGTGCGTGTGTATGTATGTTTGTTTTTGTGTACAGATAGATAGATAGATAGATAAATAGATAGATATACACTATACATAACTACACACACCTACACACCAACACACACACGTGCGTAAGTTCGTGTGTTGATCCTGCTCTTATCAAATCAAGCCTTTTCCTTTACACTCGATCATAACCACACTTTGACACCGCTCGTCCATGCATTTATCTCGTGTAATCTAAGCTTATAACTAATAATTAACTCTCTCTCCCTCTCTCTCTCTCTCTCACTTACAGATAGATCAAAATAAACACGAAAAGTAACTTGACGAAGAAAATTAAGGAGAGTATCTAGTAAAAGAAATTATTTATTGTTTTGAAAACATTTGAATATTGAAATGCGTGATGCTTTATTGATGATAATGAGGATGATGAAACTGATGGTGGATAGTTATTGGTGTTGGGGTTAATGGTGATGGTCAGAATGGGAATAATGATAAATAGTAATGATGATGATGATAGTAATGATGATTGTAATAATAATAATGATAATAATGATAATTATTATGCTAAAATAATAGTGATGATATTAATAATAATAATAATAATAATAATAATAATAATAACAAATAATAATAATGATATTAATGATAACAAGAACAACAACAGTAACAATGATAATAATAATAATGATGATGATGATGATGATGATGATGATAACAATGATGATAATAATAATAATAACAACAATAATAATAATAATAATAATAATGATAATAATAGCAATAATGACAATAATAATAATGATAATAATGATAATGATAGTAATAATGACAATAGTAAGAAGAAAAAGAATGATAATAATAATAATGACAATGCTGATATTATTACCATTATTACTATCATTATTATCACTATTATCATCATTACTATTGTTAATGATAATCATAATTATAATGATAACAAGAATAACAATAATTAAGGTACATATAAAACGCATGATACCCTATAGGCCTACAATTAGCCTATCGTTGTGGTTCTCCAAGTGTGGTTCGCGGAGGCCTAGAGATCCGAAGCAGTGTGACTGAGACTCCGAGAGATTCATTGAGAGATTCGGGTGGCTGCTTCGAAAATTATGATCATATTTTTGTAGCTTTTATTTTTAATTGTTTATTTATTCGTTTATTTGTCTGTCTGTTTATTTGTTTGTTTATTTATGTGTGTTTTTTTATTTGTTTAGGTATTCTGTGTTTAATGTTTGTTCTGTTTTGAATCTTTTAATTTTTGGTTAGGATTCGTTTCGGATATATACTGTATTTTCAATAGTGATAATAATAATGATAATAACAGTGATAATGATAATAAGTACAGCACCCAAAAATATTGTGATAATAAGATAATAGCAACAGTAATAGTAATAGTAATAATAATGGACTGGCTATGAGAATGTGACATTTTGAAATTATGATAAAACTAACACTTACGATAATGATAACAGTAGCAGTAATGGTAGTAGCAATAGTAGTCGTTGTAGCAGAGGTAGTGTTATAATGATAATGATATTAATTGCAACAATAGCAATGATAAAATCCAGAAAGTAAAAAAAAAGTAATGATATATATATTCTTGGAAGAACGCGTGGAAGAACAGTGCATAAAACTAATATATTTTATTGTAAATAAGATTGCATGTCATAGTTATTATCTTTATTATCTACAATCTTATCAGCAATCCGAATAATCTACTGGTCACCTTCTTATCATTTCTATTTTTGATATTACGCTAATCTCTGAAAAAAGTGATGTAGATGAAGTAGCGCACCTGTGACGTCATCTCTGACATCATCGGTCGACTATGACGCAATCGATTTGTTTATTTTTAATGCTTACGGTAAACAGATTTTTCGCCTGTTCATTTATATTTTCTGTATCATTATCGTCATTATTATCATTACCACAATTGTTATTACTGTTACTACTATTATTATTATTATTATTATTATTATTGTTGTTGTTGCTGTTATCATTATTATTATCATTATGACTATCATCATTACTACAATGAAAATAACAATATTTAATATTAGTATGGTTGTTATTCTTGTTGTCATTTCATTACTATTGTTATTGTTATCATCATCATTATTATTAGCATTGTTATTATCATCATTAATATTATCATTATTATGATTGTCGTTACTATCATCAATGATATTGTTATCATTATCTTATCATTATTTTCTATTTTTATTATATCATTATTATCATTATTATTGATATTGTTTTTATTATTACTCTTATTGTTATTATTATTATTGTTATAATCATTACTGTAACTATTACTGTTATCATTATCATTATTGTTATCATCATTATCATATCATTATTACTGTCACTATTATCATCATTAATATTATTATCATTATTACAATGAAGACGATTGTGATGATTAATATTATTATTATTGTTATCATTATTATTATTATTATTATTTTCATTATTATTATTATCATTATTATTATTATTATTATTATCATTATCATCATTATTATCATCATTATTTACTTATTATTATTATTTACCATTATTATTATAATAATAGTAATAATAATAATAGTAATAATAATAATGATATTAATGATAACATTAATAAGAATAACAATAATTAAGGTACATATAAAACGCATGATACCCTATAGGCCTACAATTAGCCTATCGTTGTGGTTCTCCAAGTGTGGTTCGCGGAGGCCCAGAGATCCGAAGCAGTGTGACTGAGGCTTCGAAAGATTCATTGAGAGATTCGGATGGCTGCTTCGA